ACTGACACACACACAGAGCGCTTGCTGAATGACAAAAAGCTGGCGCTGGTCTCACCGCACGTGCTTTTATAGCCTCCTGGTCATCACGCCCCCCGCCGTGACGTCTCGCCCATCTATTGGTCTGATTACACACGAGATTCAGAGCCCGTCACGCTGAAGGGCGTTCCCCTAGCGTTTTTCGACGCAGCTCGAGTTCCTGAAGAGGAACAACTATTTTATAAGGTGGTGATTTCATATGAATTTGTATGATTTCTATAAATATTTATAAAATGTTATATTTATAAAATTTACATATATTAACATTGTCTTCTATGATGTGCAACACAAACATCTCAGTTAATGTCTCAGAAAAAGTAAGTTAGAGTTTCCCCACGACCTGAACACATTTAACAACAAATAATTCTCACCATATGAACAAATCACTCGCCCATGAGTCAGAACCTCAGAATTTTTAATAACAGCCACGAACAGGTTCACAGACTTTTTTCATAGTTCTGTACATGTTTAACACTTCACATTTAATATTAGACTGTTCATTGCCTTTATTGCTATTTTGTTAGATTGTGAATCAGATTGGTTGTTTCTCTGACACAGCTCTCATGCACGCTGTGGTGTTTGGGAATGTAACTGCCATCATCCAGCGCATGTACTCACGTCGCTCACTATATCACACGCGTATGAAAGATCTGAAGGACTTCATTCGTGTTCACCGGCTGCCACAGCAGCTGAAACAACGCATGCTGGAATATTTCCAGACCACCTGGTCTGTGAATAATGGCATTGATGTCAATGAGGTGAGAAAGTGCTTGGCATTAACAAGTGTTTTTTTTTCTTATTAATTTACATTTTATGTAAAAATTATTTCAGTCTGTGCAGGGATATCGGTAACACTTATTAATAATATGTATACACTAATATACTTACAAATCATTTAAAAACTATTGGTTTGTAGTTAATTCATAGTTTATAAACTGTAGTTAATACATTAATAGACTCATACAAATAGTGTTCTTCATTGTCACTGTAATTAACACAATGAATATTGTTTAATTAGCTCATATGTAAATAGTTAGATAATGCTTATTAACCATAAATAGTTCTCACAACATATGAATGCAATTAATGTTCAATAAAGGTTGGTTTAAAGCACTTAATTAATAACATTTCCCCATTTTCCTTGACCTAATCTAAAGTGAGAACTATTCAAACCTTATTACTAATTAACAATTCCAAATGACCTAAAGAAAAATGTCATGTTATCTATTAGATTTTACATTTTGGATAATATAATCTAAGTAACTTTCTTATTACTTTTAGATTAGTTTTGACCTACCTCACTAATAATATAATTGTTTACAGAGCAGGATAAATTACTTACAAATTGTAGTCCGTTGATGATACCAGATTACATAATAAAAACTGTAGTTAGTAACATAATCTAGGTTACTCGTTTTAGATCATGTATTCCGACTACGTTTTAGATTACTTTTTTAATCAAACTTGTTTTATACTTACCATTAAACGTGCCATATTGATATAAAAAAGCAAAGGGAAAGAAAATATATTCCTTGAAATATTTTTTTCTTTCGTTTCTGTCTGTCTTTGTGAATATAATCAAAGCTGAGTGGTATGACACACAGTAGCATTTTTAGAAAGGAAAGTTTAAAAGAGGGAAAAGATGAATTAGGGAGAACCAGTAAATTATGAATAATAATAATAATAATCCATAAAGAAAGTAAACTGATTATGAGCATTTTATAATGTAATATACTCTAATTACAAATACTTCATTTTTGGAATCTGATTGCATAGTTCAAATTACATGTAATCAATTACTACCCAGCACTGATCGTTTAGTACCATATTGATAAAAATACAAAGAGAAATAAAAAATATTCCATTCTTTGTCAATAACATGAAGTGTATTAACATTACATTACATCCCAAACTGGGGTATGCAAGAGCACTGCAGGGGGGTTGAGAATTGATGAAAAGTTAATAATTAATTAAAAATCTTAAAAATGTCAAATTAAAAAAATCTAATAAAACCAAATATAAAATTTACTAAAAAGACGAAATATTTTATTTGTTTACCTGCATGTCCCGTGTGACCATTAATCAACAACTGAGAACTATAAGCGTGCAAATATGTGGTTAAATTGAAATATTAAGTAAAATCTCAGGGGGTGCCTCAAATTAAAAAAACATTTTTTAATGGTCTAATTAATTGAGTGGGGCTTTTGTCCCCAAACTCAGAAGCCCAGTGATGTGGATGAAAGTCTGGGCCCTGTCAGGGTAAATGATGAGAGGTTCAATCGCAAATGCAGATAATACAGTTTATTAGGCAGACAGGAGTACACACACAGAGAAGTCAGGTGGAAGGAATCCTGGATGCAAAGAATGGTCAGTTCCTCGGTAGCGCAGAGCTGCAAGGGGTAAAAGGTAATCCATCTCCGAATATGAGAGAGCTGAAGTCCGACTAGTCCACAGCAAACAGGTTCAGTGACAACTGCAAGGAACGGATGAACAACAGGACATCCAGAATACTGCATGAGACAGAAACACACACATGAGTAACCAAACGATCTGACAAAGACAAGACAAACACAGAGAGCTTAAGCAGGAGCGCTGACAAGCCACAGCTGAAGCTGATAACTCATCAGCGGCAGTAAACAAAATGACCAGAAGAGGCCAGGGAATACTGTGAACTGTGACAGGCCCTCCATCAGTCACAGACTCAAATATGTTTGCATTATGGGAGTGTTTTTAGAATTATGAACAGACAATTAAAGATGCTTAAAGCTGGTCCATGTATATGTCAGACCAGTTTTATTTCTGAGTCACATAAACTAACATATGGTAAACAGCATGCAATTCCATCACATCACACTACTGGCACACAATGGTACCACTATCTGAAGATGTAAATATCCTTAAAGCTGTGAGCATGACAGATACCCATGTTTGGTGAAGCTCAGTCCACTGTCAGGCAGATGTTGCAGGCAGAACCCAGGTCAGGACTGTAGCAGGACAAGAGAGGTTAGATTCCTTGAGATTTCTTTTAATTAGATTATGCCAGCACACAGAATAGCCAACTATAACAGCATGGTGTGCTGATATGGCAGCTACACAGTTTAGGCATTGATGGGGTGAAGAGAGCATCCATCCACTGTTGAAATGTAAACAATGTATTTCACATTATAGAGCCATCTAGATAAACCACCTCTTTACCAACTAAGATAACCCATGTGATCCTGGGATGCTCCGCTAAGTGACAAAATGTAGGCTCCACAGCTCTGACTGAGGATGTCAAGGTTCCTCTTCAGCAGTTATTCTCCCCAGCTGAGTATCTTTAGATTCACAGACACAAACCAGTCCTCAGGATGAGCATGCGATAGGATTTGTTTATGGGAGACTGCCTCCTACTTAAGCTGCCTCCTACTTTGGCGGTGAAATTTTCATTGACTGTCATTGAGATGAGCCGAAATACCTGGAAAATACTTCCACAGTGACACTATGCAATCCACTCATGCTATTTACACAGCATTGCAGATAGGGTCAGGTCAAGATGTCGATCTAGGAACAAGTAATAAACAGCCAATACATTAGTAATATGCATGCTAATAAGACACTAGTTAATAGTGAGAAAAAAAGTGTTGTCCGTTTTTTAATTGTCTAATTGCCTGGACCTTCAAATATTTCAAATCAACGTCTAATATACTTTCAAAAGCCAAAAACAAAGTTTTTAGGATTTTTTTTATTTATTTCATTGTTCATTTAAAAAAATAGTAAAGAAGGTTTTGTTGTTTTTTTCTGCAGCTTTTACATGATTTTCCTGATGAGTTGCGTGCCGATATAGCCATGCACTTAAACAAAGACATCCTGCAACTGCCTGTGTTTGATGGTGCTAGTAGGGGTTGCCTGCGCTCTCTATCCCTCCATATCAAAACCACTTTCTGTACGCCGGGGGAATATCTCATCAGACAGGGGGACGCGTTGCAGGCCAACTACTTTGTCTGTTCTGGGTCACTGGAGGTTCTAAAGGACAACATGGTCTTGGCTATTCTGGGTTTGTAACATTTCTTTGTTGCTTTTCTAGCTTTTGACTTGTTTTTTGGACAATATATATTGATTTTCTGAACGCTACATGTTGGTGCACTATATGTTGATGGAATGTTTCAGGTGTATAGCTGTTAATTACCACAGCAACAACTTTTGACTTTTCTCTAGTTAAAATAAAATTACGTTTTCAATAACACACTTAGGAGCAATTGTGCCAGACACGTTAAAAGCACAAACATGAAGTTCATATGAATTATTTTTTATTTCTAAAAATGTGTGTTGTCACAGCCATATCACCCTGCAACCCAAGACTGGTTGCCCACTGAAGCTAAGCAGGGTTGAGCCTGGTCAGTACCTGGATGGGAGACCTCCTGGGAAAACTAGGTTGCTGTTGGAAGAGGTGTTAGTGAGGCCAGCAGGGGTCACCCTGCTCACCCTGTGGTCTGTGTGGGTCCTAATGTTCTAGTAGTGGGATTACTGGTCTATGTGGTCCCTAGTACAACTACAGTATTATACACTGGAAAACAGATTTAAATATTAGATTGATATGAAAATGGATTGTAATAGATGAAAATTGATTTTATTCAGTGTTGATGTCATTACAGGAAAAGGAGATCTGATTGGCTCAGACCTGCCAGGCCAGAATCATGTGATCAAGACGAATGCAGATGTGAAGGCACTGACATATTGTGACCTGCAGTACATCAGTATGAAAGGTTTAAGTGATGTTCTTGAACTATATCCCGAGTATGCCAGCATCTTCACTATTGACATCCACCAAAACCTCACATACAATCTGAGAGAGGGCAGTGAGACTGAGGTAAGGCTACAATCAATCAATCTCAACATACATACTTACTTACATAGTAAACTAAGCAATTCATTATCACTATCAAAGCTGTCACATCAAGATTAGCTTGTTCACTTCCCTATTCAATCCTCTATAGAAATAATGGTAAAGAAATTTGGCTTGCTGTGCTTGTATGAGGGGCTTGGGCCCAAGACTCGGCTAAGGCCCTGAGCTACCAGCACACTCTCCTCGAACTACAGATTAAAAATATTTAGATAAGTTAAATTAGAAAATGTAGGTGAAATATAGGAAAAGCTGTCTGCAACCTATCCACAAGCTCTATTCTTTAAAACAATGGTAACCAGAGAACTTAAACAGAGATACAAACATAACTGACCTGACTCTTTCATTTGAACTGTGGGAGTTACTTTACTACAGTTGCCTTCTTGGGCGTTCCAATTTTTCACATTCATTGTAATGTGACCCATCCCCTGGTGTCATTTCTTTCTCCTTGTAGCAGAACTACCCAGACTCCAGTGCATCAACTCAGAATAAGCGTCCATCCATTGTAGAAAAGGCTGATGATCCAGACAAGTACTTCCACGTCCCACCTGTTTCCAATGCATGCCGAAACCTTCTTCTGCCCAATCTAGGCAGCCCAGTACGACGTACATCACTAGGGAATCTTTTAGGAGAGGAGTTACTGCAATTTAACACCCTACGACATTGTCGTTCACCTGTAAGGGGTTGGAGCCCAAACCCCTCCCCCAAACATCAGACCAAAGTACAGAAACAAACCCTCCCACCCACATCTACACCCAAACCCACGCATAGGACACAGACAGATTCTGGAGGTACAGGACGCAAACCCGCCAAACTGCTCATCCCCACTCTCAACTGCTTTGGACCACCAGATCTTAGTCCAAGGTAACAGACATTCTTAAGAAACTAAATAAATATATTATTAATACATCATCTTAAAGACCACTTTAAATAGTTTGATTTATCACATTTCTCTTTCCTGTGTTAAAGTCTTTTCTATTGAAAAGGATGCAACATTTTGACGTTTATGCCACAGATTAAAAAAAAAACATGATTTGCTACTGTGAAGGGTGGTCTCAAGGCCACGACACACCAATTAAACATCAAAGAACTAGCGTCTATGAAAGCTAATGGTGTTGTTGACTTGCATTGTCTGCATGTGGACCAAAAAAGGTGCCCTTGTCTTGAACACACTGCAAAGAATGCACATTCCTCACCTGAGTGAGAGAAAATAACTGTTTATACTAGCTGGTGACAGTGGTCTATATTTGTCATTCAAAACTGGTATTGTAGATATACAAACCGTAAACAAAGCAGCACTTGCTTACTATTTTAAATATGAATCATGTTGATCAGTTGGTCTTCACTTTCTTCGTTTCATATGGCCATGTCATTTGAGAATATTTATGTCAGCTAAAATTAGAATAGCCTTCAACTGTGGGCCCTTTTGACTTTGTCGCCGTTTGCTCGCTTTCGCTTTTCTTCTCATGCACTGGTTTGCTAAGCTGAACAGTCAATCAGAGGGTTTGAATTCAACATGCTCAATTGTCCAAAAAGCCTCTGACAGGATCCAACTAGTGCAGACGGTGTGTGGAACACACCGCAATATCTGAGCTGACAGATACTCAGTGACTGTTTGACAGTTGACCACCAGCTTGGTGTGTCACAGCCTTTAGACCTACTTATTAAGATCAGAGATGCCTACCCCTGTATAAAGTATGAGACAATATTAATTCATGTTGAGTACTTTAAAAGAGCATTAGAGTTTTTTTTGTGTGATTAATATTTGTGAGTAACAGACTCTGTATCTGACTTAATGGCTTTTTATAGAGTTGTAGATGGAATTGAGGACAACGGACATGTGTTTTGTTTTAATGTGGAGGACACCACTGCCAAAACTAGTACAGTGACATCACTGGATAGTAAGACACTGAACGGTAATGATATTTTATTCTTAGTATCTAAGTCACATACTGTAAACTGTATAGATCAGTTGGGTCATTGCACCTTTGTTTTAATGCAGGGTCTGATCAGGTGAATGCATCACTGCTTCTGGAGACAAAAGAAGTGAGAGAGACCATTGTTCAACTTAACAAGAAGGTACAGAGACAATCTCATTTCTAAAAACAGACATTAAATCCTTCTAAAATGTTCCTACTTACTGTACAAGCTCAGAAATGAAACAAAGGAGACAAATTAAATTTGCAACTGATGGTTTATTTGCATTTTATGATTCTAATGTTTATATATACACTTAAATGCAAGATTTTAATACAACTCATTCCAGATGGGCAACCTGAAACAGGAAGTGTCAACGCTGACTAAGGATCTGCATCACATAATGCACCTCCTGAAAGCACAAATAGCAGTTCATCATTACACAGAACCTTTGTCCTCCTGTCCCCATGGAGTCCACATGATGTCCAGTTCTTCTGTCAGTATGTCTCCGGCCTACATCTTGGGTTCCAGCATCCACATGCACCACAAAGACCATGTTGTCCCTGAGGGTCTCCTGGGGTCCACATCTTGGAGTCACGGCAGACCTGGTGGTATGGCTGCAAACTCCCTGTAGCTTTTGTTTTTTCATTGATGAAACGATCTGTTTTTCTGTATACAAGTTGGCATCATTTGATTAAAATTTTTCTCTGGTATGTACAGGTGGATCTGGTTTCGCTCAGCACACTGAGAAACAGGGACACTTTCACCAGCATGAGCCCAATCAACACTCTCCTGTCACAGCAAATGAGCCCTGTTCCCATGATTGGAGTTCCATCTACACCTCAGTTCCCTCCAATATCAGCCACCATCACTTCTCTACTGGCTCCTCTCTCCTTAGCATCAGCCCAGGAACCCTGGGGCCAACACCTGGAGAGAGCCCCCGAGCAGAGGGCTTATCACTGGGCATTTGTGCTGGAGATGGAGCCCATGCCAGTATCAGCCAGTCACACCCTGTTTTGCATACATTGTTTCCTCAAAATTTGGACAGTTCGTCTTTTTCTTGCAAGGTCACGCCAAGCTCTTATTCACACCTACACCTTTCCACAGAACCAGTGTTTCCCTACTCCACTCCAACTGTGGATGAAGAGCACAGGACTCCAGAGGTGGCCCTCACTCAGAATGTGGTACCTTCCACTTTCGTACAAGAGAAATATCCACCCTCTCCAAAGGAATCAGGCGTAGTTCACTCTTCCCTTGAGGAGTCACCTGAAGTAGAGCACACCAGTCGGGAGTGCCTACTGGGTAATCAAAGGCTGGGCCAAGATAGTGAAACATCAGAGAGCAGGTCTAGCGGGTCCAGTGTAGGACTTTGTAGCCAATCCGAGAGCTCAGAGACCACATGGTGCCTGGATCTGATGGACTGACAATGAGGAAAGACTATAATCAAGATATCTACAACAAAAATTTTAGTTTGAATTTTAACACCATTTTCCTTTCATTATGAATTTCATACGTTCATGAGTAAGAGAAAAGGCTGCTCAGCAGTTAATCATCTGGACCATCACCGAACCCATTTTCCACCAGCAGTGTGTCTTTGTTGGTGGCAGAGCCAGTGCCTGATCTGGAACCTTTTTCTGTTCCACCACAGTAAATGGCAGTAATGGTGTGGAAGAACTGGCACCACACCAAATTCTAAAACCTGCTAGTCTTAAACAAGAAATCACAAAATGTTAGAGGCAAGGGCCTGGATGTGCTTACCAAGTAAGTTTTTTTTTAAACTAGAATATCTCTCACACACACACACACAACACATCAGTAAAGCTATTATCACTTTGTATATATTTACTGTACTTTTCTGGCACATACACCATATTTGCTGTACACACAACAAACTGCTTTCCTCTTTTTTTTGTTAAAGAGATAATTCACTCAAACGTGAACATTGTGTCATTTACTCATCCTCTTGTTTTTCTGAACTCATACGTCTTTTGTTCATCTGCATAACAAAGTTGAAGATATTTGTAATATTCTCTCATCATTTTTGTCAATTCATTAAAAGTTAAAGCAGTAACAACTTTCAAGCTTCAAAAAAGTTCAGAAAGACACTAAACTTATGACCTGTCAAGCTTACGTCGAGAGCACGGACACGAAAATAATACAATATAGACTTTTAAAAGGATCTCCAGACAATGAAGGTTAATCCAAGACAAAAGGGCACACAAGCATTCACAACAATAATAACTGGCAAACAACCGGAGAGATCTTAAATAAGGCAGTAAATGAGGGACATACAGGTGCTGAGGATTAACTGATAATTGACTAATGAACTAATGCACTAATGACAACAGGAACAGAACCAAATATGGGCAAATAGGAACCTAAACCAGGGGGGTGTTCCAGAAAACAGGTTATGTGACATACCCGGGTATGTTTGAGGATAAGCGAGTGGATAACCTCAGCTTTCGGTTCCAAAAATGGAGGTAACTTTCAGGGTACGTAAGTAACCATACCAACTTGCTCTCTGAAGATAATCAGAGATTGTCGTACTATAGGGAGATGAGAGGGTCCGTATTACTTACTATTGGAGAAAGCGTAACGGCTAACTTGGATCACGTGTCCCTTAATAACCAATCACATTACAGCCTTAACGTCATTGAATTTCAGTCAGAGTTGTGCAACACTTAATCGCCATTTACGGATCCCATAGGAATAAATGAGAAGTGCCGTAAACTGAATCCCACCCAGTCAGTGACTTCTCTTATAAAACAGCATTTTTTTCATGGTAAACTCTAAAAATAGTTCAATCCAAAAGTATTGTTTAGTGTAAAACATGTTGAAGATTAGCAGATAGGCTGTCGATTCATTAAATGATAAGCTGTTACCTCTAAAAAGCTGTTTGTTCAGTGTAGTGAAGCCTCTCCTCTATTGACATCCATTTAAAAAAAACGGCCTCTGGTCTTCCTGCCGAATTCCAACAGGCACAACCTCATTCTACTTAAAGGTGCACTAAGCGATTTTTGCCAAATGATGTTGATATTTGAAAGCACCAAAACAAACACGCCCATACCCCAACAGGACCTCACCCCTATTTTGATATCTCCGCCCCACACGTACGTACACAACCATGGCAACAACGATCGCGGAAACAAGCGATGACACACAAGCATATTCAAACAAAAGCCAACACAGATAAGTTGTGTGAAACAATGCAAAATCAACGTTACTCACCTATCAAAAAGAAATAACTCAACCGCGGCATTCGATTTGAGCCCTTCCCACTCCTTGAGTTCTCTCCACTGCTGGAAAGCTGCTACGATATTTACGTGGGTCCTACCTCTTGTCTGATCGTAACCCTTCTTTTTAATATTTTTTCCTTCGATATTTTCCTCTTTTTTATCTTCCAGTTCTCTCTATCTATAGTCGATCTGCTAATATCCGTCCTGTACATTCAAATTGAGCGCTCTCTTCTTGCTATCATTACAAGACACGCCCCAATACTGCTGATTGGCTGCAAGTGTGTTTTGGGACTCGGTCAAAAGCATTTTTCAAAAATTGCTTAGTGCACCTTTAATGAAGTACTGGTTTGGTGATCACCTGAGGAAAAGTATAAAAACCACTACTGTGGTCATCACGGTTCTCTTGCAATAGGACCTGCTGGATGGCAAAAACAGTGCTAGTAGTACTTCAAAAGTAATTGGAATCTGATAATAACTATTGACCATGCCAAAAGAGTTGAAAGAGTTTTGAGTGAGGAAAAGAAGGGTTCAATTCTGGCTTTACGGGATACAGTGAGCGTCAGGTTGCATCCATCCTTAACATTTCAAAGACAGTGGTTCATAAGAACAAGGTCAATCTGCTGACATTGGGGACAACAAAGCTACAGACCGGCAGAGGGTGAAAACGACTCTCCACTGACCAGGATGACCGTCAATTCATTCGAATGTTACTCAAGTAGGATGACATCAAGTGAAAGAATGGAAACCGGCAGCTGGGGTGAAGTGCACGGCAAAACGGTTTGAAACAGGCTCCTAGGGCAGGGCTGAAGTCATGCATAGCTAGAAAAAAGCCCTTCATCAATGAGAAGCAAACAAGAGCCCAGCTGAGGTTTGCAAAAACCATAAAGATTGGACCTTCTCTTACGAGTCCAATTTTCAGCTTTCCCTGTTGAAAAAATCAGCATATGCTGGTTAGGTATGTTTTGAAGCATGGCTGCTGGTTTGAGCTGGTTTAAGGCTGGTTTTAAGATGGTTCTTAGCTGGTCATGTGCTGGTCCTAAGCAACTAGCTCCTGCTCAGGACCAGCACATGACCAGCTAAGGACCAGCTTATACCAGCTATAGAATAAAAGATATTCATTACTCAAACACATACGTATAAATAGTAAAACCAGAGAAACTGATAATTTTGCAGTGGTCTCTTTAAATTTTCCAGAGCTATAAAGCAAATATAGTAAACAGAAGCTCAAATGTGTGTCCAATTCAACAACCTTTTTGGTAACACTTCACAATAACGTTCCATTAGTTGACCTCCGTTATTGCATTAACCAACAATGAGCAAAACATTTTTTGCATGATGTATTCATCTTTGTTAACATTAGTTAATAAAAATACAATTCGTTATAAGTCCATGTTAGCTCAAGTCCATTAAATAGCATTAACAGGTATAATCCTGCTCAGTCCTCACTGCAGGACACTAAAAACTGTTTTTATCCACCTTACTTTGCAACATGGAAGTAAGATGTTTTCTTGGTAAAAGACTTCCAGTTCATTAGCTAGTTCATTTAACAGGTAAAATAACTGGAAGCGAATGACACCGGAAGCCTTGCTCATTTATGTTGCAAATGTCCGCACACGCTCTTACGTTAAAAATAAAGTGGATAAAGAAATGGTTCTTGAAAAATTGTCTGCTGGAAGTTCAATAAGAAGTTCTAATTTCAGTTATATGGACCATCATCTTGCGTTGCAATGCTACAGTATACTGTATATAAAAATGTCAGCTCATTATCCATTAGATCATCAACTGGTAAAAATTTAAACTAATTTTGAAACTGCTTTATCTTTTCAGAAACTTGGTTCCTGGTATTCCATCTCATTCTCAAAAACTGTAAAACTATGCAAAGCTACATATGAATTACGTCATCAAATGGAGAGCATCTTCACTAAAAAGGAGAAAAAACTGGTGACTATTGTCTGTGTTCAGTACAGTAAACATGTTAATTTTCTATTGTGGACATAAGTTGTAGAATTCACAGACTTCTATTTCAAAAATCACTTTCACTGAACTTTTTAGTCTTCTGTATGTCTATAAGTTCCTGACATGCATAGTGGATTATTATTTTTCCTACAGAAAATGTACTCTGAAATGTTGAATGAATAGTTTAAACTACTCAGATATCTAGGACACAGCGTGTACGTACAGTACTTTATCATTTCACTTTACCTATCAGAGCTTGACTGTTTACTCAAATGGGACATATCAAGGAAAAGCAGGCAAATGTACTTATGGAATAACAATTTTACTGTAGAGTTAGATTATATTGAAAAATTAATTGTATTATATCCAAAATGTACTACAGTTAACAGTTTTTGCAGTAGACTGTTCTGACATACCTCTATAAACTATGCCCATGATAGACTCTCCTCATTTTTAATATTTCTTATTTTAATTGTTTTCAATTAGATTACCTCATTGCAATCAATGCATTATTTGATGACAATGTAGTACTGGAAGCAATGTTACCATAAAATTAAAAGCCCAGAATGCATCCATAAAAGGATTATTCTGTTACTTTCAGAACAGATAAAATGACAGACACTTTAATACATATATGCACAGTTGACAGAATACTGCATGAAAAAAGCTTATTGAAACAGTAATGCATTTCAAATATACCGAGTATTGCTGTCATTGCTGAATCTGGGAATGTTGCATGTTGCATTAAAAGCTGCTGCCAGAAATCCAGTAGTACTCTATTGCACTAAGTAACTGAATTTAATACTTGAATTAATGAGACTCAGGGTTTATTTTCATTTGCACAATGTGTGACCACTTAAATCAATGATAAGGAGCTATTTAATTTAATTCTACATTATATGCAACATGGGCCTGCACACATATGAATTAATATAGACTTTCATGTGGACACTTGTATGTGGTTATAGTGTATATAATGAATAAAGGTGTAATAAATGTTCACAAATGAACTTGAGTGGTCATGAAAGTAGCATTGCAGCAGACTGGACAAACATTATTACACACTTATGTATTGTTTTATACTTTTAAAAACTATGACACTGAATACAGAAGATTGTAATTATTCTGTAGAGGGCTGTTTATGCTTTTATTGATTATCAATCAAAACTCTTTGCCAGACTTTTTAATTGCACTCATTTACATTCATTAACCTTGAATCTTAT